CCAAGAGCTTAGGAAGGTATGACCACGCGTGACCTCTGACCTCAGCGTACTGACCACTGACAGAGTGGATAGGGGAGCAATGTGGCAGATGTTGCAAGTATATGGAATAGGTAGTAAGTTACTTAATGCTGTAAACAGTTTTTATGAGGATAGTGAGGCACAGGACAGGGTGTGTAGGAGAGGGAGATTTCTCCCCAGTGAAAGTCTTAACAAAGATGTGTAATGTCACCATGGTTGTTTAATATACATGCATTTATAGTTGGGGTTGTAAAAGAAATAAATGCTAGGGTATTTGGGAGAGGAGTGGATTAAATTATGGGAATCAAAGACAAAATGGGAATTGATACAGTTACTTTTTGCGGATGATACTGTGCTTAAGGGAGATTCTAAAGAAAAATTGCAAAGTTTAGTGGACGAGTTTGGGAGTGTGTGTAAAGGTAGAAAGTTGAAAGTGAACATAGAAAAGAGTAAGGTGATGAGGGTATCAAATGATTTAGATAAAGAAAAACTGGATATCAAACTGGGGAGGAGGAGTATGGAAGAAGTGAATGTTTTCAGATATTTGGGAGTTGACGTGTCAGTGGATGGATTTATGAAGGATGAGGTTAATCATAGAATTGAAGGAAAAAAGGTGAGTGGTGCGTTGAGGTATATGTGGAGACAAAAAACGTCACCTATGGTGGCAAAGAAGGGAATGTATGAAAGCATAGTGGTACCAACACTCTTATATGGGTGTGAAGCTTGGGCTGTAAATGCCACAGCGAGGAGACGTTTGGAGGCAGTGGAGATGTCCTGTCTAAGGGCAATGTGTGGTGTAAGTATTATGCAGAAAATTCGGAGTGTGGAAATTAGGAGAAGGTGTGGAGTTAATAAAAGTATTAGTCAGAGAGCTGAGGAGGGGTTGTTGAGGTGGTTTGGTCATTTAGAGAGAATGGATCAAAGTAGAATGACTTGAAGAGTGTATAAATCTGTAGGGGAAGGAAGGCAGGGTGGGGGTCGTCCTCGAAAAGTTGGGGGGAGGGGTAAAGGAGGTTTTGTAGGAGAGGGGGCCCGGACTTCCAGCAAGCGTGCATGAGCATGTTAGATAGGAGTGAATGGAGACGAATAGTATTTGGGACCTGACGAGATGTTGGAGTGTGAGCAGGGTAATATTTAGTGAAGGGATTCAGGGAAATCGGTTATTTTTATATAGCCAGATTTGAGTCCTAGAAATGGGAAGTACAATGCCTGCACTTTAACCCCTTCAGGGTCCAAGGCCAAAATCTGAAGTGGTGCTCCAGTATCCAAGAAATTTTGAAAAAAAAAAAATTATTTTTTCTTACAGAATTAAAGAGCATATTTTTGTGAAGGTAATAAGATAAAAAAAAAATTCTGATCAGTACTTACCGAGATACAGTGCCAAGAAGTTTGTCAAAAATGATGTGGTGGCGGCAACATCGACAAATTCCACATACGCGCATTGCATTATTTTGCGTTTTTTGTTGTTTTTTCTTTTCTTTTCCAATTTTTTTCTATTCCTACTAACATTTGGGGCCTAAGAGAACCAATATGTATAAAATGTATATATATAAACTCACTGTATTGAACAAAAATAACCTCACTAAATTTATTACCCTATTATTTTTTAAACCACTGTTGTTTATTACAATAAACATCCCAAAAAATATTGTATAATACTAATGTTCTATCATATATTTACATATTTACAATCACTGGACATGGTTTTAAAAATGCGGGAGCTTGTGGAACTCCTTGAAAAAAGGGCACCATGCACAGAGGCACCTTACATTCCTCACACATAAACCAAGTGTCTTTGTGTCTTTGTTGCCGTCTTTTTGTTTGTGACAGACGATGCATCTCTTCTGGGGCAAATTCTTCTGATTGAAGGAAGTTGTATTATGAAATGATCACCTTCCCTCCTCAAACGCTTGGGTATTCCTGAGGAATTCGAGGACCGTGTTGTATAGCAGGTGTTGTTACCTGGTACTTCATTATGAGTTGTCTGACAACAGACAAACAAAATTCACCTTTACAGTGGTCGTTGCCAGTTTTTTATTTGGTACATATTATATGCATTTGAGCATTGAAATGTCCAGAGATGGAAGAAAAGTTTCATGTACCACTTAACTCTTACGAACACAGTCAACAAAACCAATCTGCATGTACATTTGTCAACCAAGCGCATGTTTTGTGTAAAATAAATCACTGTCACTGGTTTTGAATACGTTCATTAGTCACTCGATCAACTTTGCCACTGTCTTGCATTTCATTACGGTGAAGGGTTTGTCAACAATGTGACATCTCGTTTGGGTCATGCCACCGTAAGCCATGATGTCATTGGCAGAAAAACACCTGCCGTCACCACGAGCACCTGCGTTGAGCCTGGGCATATGTTTACGTTGAACGCACTGTGCCACACACATCTGTCTTGTTCACTCGCATGAATTAAATGAGTAAGGGGCTTTTTGTACCAGTTATCGGTACATAATGTATGCCCCTTACTAAGATAAGGTACCATCATGTTTTCACTACGTCACCTGAGATACCCAATAACATCTTGGTATCTTTCAATGTTTTACTACCCGTGTATACACACAACTTCCAACACCGGGCCACTGTCACAATCACAGAGTACAAACAGTTTTATACCAAAGCGTTTCCTTTTTGCTCGGTATACACTGCTTGAATGACAGTCTACCTTAGAACAAATCAAAGACTCGTCATTACAAGATTCTTGAATGGATAAAAGTATATGCTGAACTTTTGTTTGAGATACATGAAAACATTTCTAATCTTGTATAACCTGTCACTTCTGTCAGGCCTGGTTTTGTCAGAGAAGTGCAACATACGTAAGAGTAAGATAAACCTGTTAACTGGTATGATTTCACTGAAGACCGGGGTAAAAAATTAGCGATCTGTGGACCAGTATGCTTTTATATTATGCTTATAGACGTGAGGCCATAAGCATTATTGTTGCAAAAAGCAAATACATTTCTGCAAAAAGTCGTCTCTTTCCACCTGTGTACTCTTGACTGTGGTGATAAGATCGTAATTTGCCATGGTTTTTAACTCAAAATACTTATTACTTTCCCTGACAATAATTTCCATCAATGGCTGGTCAAAGAATAATTCAAAGAATTCCAGTTCATTGGCGTGGTTCCAAGGGGACAAGTAGGTAAATTTCCACTTTGAGAGTCATCAAAGTGGTGAGGCTTGGGAACAAAATTGGGGTTTTGCCCGCCAATTCCCACATACGGTTTTGCTGGTGGATACTGGACATCATAGGCTGGTTGTGCGGGTGGTTGTGGTTGTGGTGGGGCTGGTGGCTGGCGCTCCGCTTTGTCCTTGAACTGACGAGTCAGCAGCGTGGGTCCCAGCATGGCCTGGTGAGTCACGCATGGCGGTGCCACTACCATCACCACTAACACCATCCACTGATGCCTGTGGTCTATCCTGCCAAGTGTAGCCACATCATCCTCACTATCAAATACCTAAAACTGGTGTTGGGCCACGGGATGTACTCCGGGGTGTACTCCGTCCCCTGGGCACAGCGTTAGGGTACACTACCCGAGCGCATGCGGTGGCGAACATACCGACGCTTCACTGGTGAATATGATTCCTCACTATCACTACTCGAATGATCGTCGAGTGCAATAAAATCACAGTCCACGTCACTATTCATCATCATTACTGAAGTCAGAGGCCTGGCCATGTGAAAATATTAGTTTTCTCTTGTGATGAGGAACAACCGACCGTGAGTCACGAGTGCCCACACCAGAGGTAGAAGGTTGAGGATCGTCAGGGTTTTCTGCACTATTATCGATATCCGGTCATTTTTTTCGGTCTCTAACTGATCCCAAAGCCATAAAATTCGTCTTCATTTCCACTTCCATCATGTCAGAACTATCAGATAGGAAGAGGAGAGTCCCAATTTTCCGGGGAGTGAGAGCTGACTTGCGACGAGGCATGGTGAACAAGGGTAACTGAGCCGGCGTTCCCACAATGCTATGCGGGCGCCTAGATTTTTTGTTTATGGTGCACACCCACCACGCAGACCCGTTCTCTCACATGTAGGCCTATGAGCGTTTTCGCGCTAAATTTGACGGCGCTAGAATTTTGGCATAGATCTACGGTTTGGACACTCAACGTAAAGCCGTTGAAACTACGGGAAGACCCTGGGAAAAGGGTTAACCCTTTGAGGGTTTTCGTCGTACTAGTACGTCTTACGCGTAGGGGTTTTTGACGTACTAGTGCTCATAAATTCTAGCGGCCTCAAATCTAGTGGGAGAAAGCTGGTAGGCCTTCATTTGAAAGAATGGGTCAATGTGGTCAGTGTGCACAGTCTAAAAAAAATCCTGCAGCACACAGTGCATAATGAGAAAAAAAAAACCTTTACCATTTTTTTTGAATAAATCAGCGATTTTGCAGTGTATTTTCGTATGGTATTTATTGTTGTATTCTAGTTTTCTTGGTCTCTTTTTATAGAATGGAAGACATATTACAGAAATTGAGATGATTTTGACTGGTTTTACAAAGAAAGGTGCCTTGAAATTGAGCTCAAAGTAGCAGAAATGTTCGATTTTTACCAAACTTCAAAAGTAAACAAATTGTGCCAAGCATACAATACACGTCAACTGGTGAGTCTAATATTCTTTCACAAGTGCACCAATAATATTTATACCATTTTTTACACTAATGCAGTAGTCTGCATAACAGTAAATCTTATATTTTTTTTGAAAATAAAAATTCAAAGTGGAAAGCAAAAGAATATAAGAGGGGCCTTGAGACATGACTAATGACTAGAGGAAATGTCATTTTAGTGCCAGGAATGTCTTTCTTGTTTATTCTGGACCCTATTCGGAAATTGGTATCTTTTGAAATTTGGTTGAAATTGGCAAAATTGCTAAATTCTGACCACTGTACTGGATAGTTGAATTTCATAAATGAGTGGTTTCTTGCACCCATTCGATAGAAAAAAATGGAGTTTCTAGCGAAATATTCATGTTTTTTGTCGACTAGAACAGTGAAATTGGCCGAAAATGGGGCTCAAAGTAGGCAAAATCGCCGATGCGTAAACATCGCCGAGACCGCTAACTTTGCGAGAGCATAATTCCGTAAGTTTTCTATCAAATTTCAAACTTTTGGTGTCTTTATGATCGGGAAAAGATTCTCTATCTTTTCATAAGAGAAAATAATTTTTTTTTTTTTTTAAATTTGGCCGACCCTGAGAACGAGTTTCGGAGAGGGCCTGTCGACCCTCAAAGGGTTAAAGGAGGGGTTTGGGATATTGGCAGTTTGGAGGGATATGTAGTGTATGTTTATACATATATGCTTCTAATCTGTTGTATTCTAAGCACCTCTGCAAAAACAGTGATTATGTGTGAGTGAGGTGAAAGTGTTGAATGATGATGAAAGTTTTCTCTTTTTAGGGATTTTCTTTCTTTTTGGGTCACCCTGCTTCGGTGGGAAACAGCCAACTTGTAAATAAAAAAAAAATAATATTTTCTTTCTTTTTGGGTCACCCTGCTTCGGTGGGAAACAGCCAACTTGTAAATAAAAAAAATAATAAAAAAAAAAAAAAACTTATAGCTTCAAAGATTACATAAATATTACTTATTGCCTTAAATTCAGGTTGCTGGTGCATGCCAATGATTTTGATAAGTATGGTGTTGGATAGTGTGGCCCTACTGGGCTGAGGTGGAAGGTTGGAGATTGTTAGATGAAGTGTATGTTTGAAGCTCTTGAACTGATGTTTATGGTTGTACTGGAGTACTGAGAAATTCTGTAAAGCATCTCTGGTCTTTTTTAACTCTGCAGTACTTTTATATAGCTGACAGTAAGGCATCATTAGCTGCTCTAGACCCAGTTTTAGAACAGTGCTCCTAGACTTGTCAGGGTCATCTTAAGTTAAAGTCTTCTAGTTTAGCAGCAATATGGAACTGCTCATGTAGGTATTCTAATGTTAACCCTTTTTCTTCAGGTTCTTTCTTCTGACTCCTCTGTATTTGGGCAATGAGGTCTGCCAACATTTTCTCTGGACTTTTCTTTCCATCATCATCTTCTAACAGTTCATTTGCATCTTACTGCATATTTTCAAAGCCTTCACATAGTAATCTCCTAGCCAGCTGAATAATTTCCTGCACCTGGTTCTTAACTGAAGGAAAACCTGTGAAAGTATTTACCACACAAGACCAAAACTTTCCCCAGCTTGCACTGAATGTTGACTGGGGCACTGCATTTCATGCACTTCTAACATAGCTGATGACATTTTCAAAGTTAAATTTATTCCAGAAGTCTGGCACTCCTAGCTCAGAGTCAGTATCCATTGCTGCTACAAGTATCCACATCACTTTTTGCGTGTATTTACAACTGAATATCCTAAAAAAATTCAACGATCCAGTGGCTGTATTAAGGATGTATTTGGTAGTAAAAACACAATTCTTACATGTGGGTGCACATCCATCAAAGCTTCTGGATGAGTACGGGAATTATCAAGAGTGAAAACAACCTTAAACGCAAGGTTCTTGCTGCTTGGGTAAAACATGACTTTGGGAATAAAGTGATGCTTAAACCAGTCAATAAATAATTACTCTGTCATCCATGCTGACTGGTTTGATCTTCAAAGAACCTGTAAGGTGGTTTTATTTTTGCCTTTCAAAGCACAGGGAGTCTTTCAGTGATATATTACCATATGCTTACACTTAAATTCACCTGATGCATTACCTCAAAGGAGCAAGCTGAAGCAATCGTTTGCTGCCTTAAATCCTGGAATGCCTTGCAGTTTTCTCTTGCTGACGTGTCTCATCAGCATTAAACACTTGTCATGGCTCGTAATGACTCTCAGAAATAATTTCCTACAACTCAACAGGGAAATTACCTGCAGCAGTTTTGCCCTAAAACTTAATATTATGCAACCAACTGCACAATATGAACTAGTGGAACCACCCTGTACTAAACAAGCACTTTCCTTCCTCAACACACATTTTTATAGAACTACAAGGCTTTTCCCCCTATTAAGACAAAATTAAGTGGTGCACCTTTCTTGGTTTTTTGTTCAATCCACTCACTCAACAACCTTTCTATCTTACTTAGTTGTTCATTCGTTTCAGGTCACAACCTGGGTTACTCATTGCACAAGTTCATCTTTGCCTCATTCTTCTTAATTGTATGAAGTGATGTCTCATTCAGGACATAAGCTAACGCCATTTCCATCTCATGTTCACCATGCCTGAGCTTATCTAGTATTTCGATTTTCTTGAAAACATTAAGAATTTTGCACTTATTCTTCATTGCAGTTCCAGAATCACTTGCATTCCTCCCGGGTGCCATTATCACTATCCCTGAGGCTCATTATGAGATGGAGAAGAAAGACAGCAGTTAATACCACATTTTTCCTTATATGTACTCCAGGTAAACCAATATTTATGGCATGTACACCAAAAATATGTTGCAATTTTGCAAAATGTGTTAACAGATAATGTATTGCGACTAACATGCCGGGAGCAAGGGGCTAGTAACCCCTTTTCCTGTATAAATTACTCAATTTAGCCCTTGGAGTGTCACAAATCCCTTTCTGAAACTGTCATTCTATGTCGCAAAATTTTTTGAAAAAACAAAAAAATTATTTTTTTTTATGAAATGATAGAGAATCTTTTCCCGATGGTAATGACACCAAAAGTAAGAAATTTTGTAGAAAGTTCACAAAATTACGCTCCTGCAAAGTTAGCGGTCTCGGCGACAAATACACATCGGCAATTTTGCCGACTTTGAGCCCTGTTTTTGGCCAATTCCGTTGTTCCAGTTCACTAAACTCATAGCTATTTCTTTAGAACTCCAATTTTTCTATCAGTTGAGTACAAAAAACTGCCAATTTACCAATTTGAACTACCCAATAAAGTGGTCAGAAATTGGCAATTTGGAGAATTTCACGCAAATTAAAAAAGATGCCAATTTCAAAATAGGGTCCAGAATAAACAATGTAGACATTCCTGGCACTAAAATAACATATCCTCTGTTCATTAGTCACGTCTCTAGGCCCCTCTTACATTACTATTGCTTTCTATTTTGATTTTTTATTCATACAAAAAATACAAAATTTACTGTTATGCAGACTACTGCAGTATTGTAAAAATGGTATAAATAATATCAGTGCACTAGTGAAAGAATATTAGACTTCCCAGTTGGCGTGCATTAGACATGTGGTGTGATTTGCTTACTCCTGAACATTGGTAAAAATCGAACAATTCTGCTACTTTGAGCTCAATTTCAAGGTCGTTTTCATCATGAAACTTGATCTTAATGAAGCTCATGCCCGCAGAAAGTCACTCTACCAAGTCTGAAGGATGACCAGGAGCATTGTCTAATACCAGGAGGCACTTAAGGTCCAATTTATTTTCAATTAGGTAATTTTTCACATTGGGGGCAAATGCCTAGTGTAACCAGTCATAGAAAATGTCCCTAGTGACCCATGCCTTACTGTTTGCCCTCCACAGCACACACAAATTAGCCTTGAGGATATTCTTTTGCCTGAACGCTCTGGGAGTTTCAGAGTGATACACCAATAAAGGCTTCAATTTGCAATCACCACTAGCATTGGCACACATCAACAGAGTAAGCCTGTCTTTCATAGACTTATGTACTGGGAGTGCCTTTTCCTCCTCAGTAATGTAGGTCCTGCTTGGCATTTTCTTCCAAAACAGGCCTGTTTCATCACAATTAAACACTTGTTCAGGTTTCAATCCTTCAGCCTCTATGTACTCCTTGAATTACTTCACATATTTTTCAGCTGCTTTGTGGTCCGAACTGGCAGCCTCACCATGCCTTATCACACTATGTATGCCACTACGATTCTTAAATCTCTCAAACCAACCTTTGCTGGCCTTAAATTCACTCACTTCACCACTAGTTGCTGGCATTTTTCTAATTAAATCCTCATGCAACTGCCTAGCCTTTTCACATATGATCGCTTGAGAGATGCTATCTCCTGCTATCTGTTTTTCATTTATCCACACCAATAACAGTCTCTCAACATCTTCTATCACTTGCGATCTGTTTCGAAAACATAGTTGCACCTTTGGCAAGAACAGCTTCCTTGATTGCTGTTTTCTTGGTCACAATAGTAGCAATGGTTGATTGGGGTTTTGTGTACAACCTGGCAAGCTAGGAGACCCGCATTCCACTTTCATACTTAGCAATGATCTCTTTCTTCATATCCATAGTAATTCTCACCCTTTTTGCTGTAGGGCTGGCACTAGAAGCTTTCTTGGGGCCCATGGTGACTTATTTTGCAGGTGAAATCACCAAAAACGCTGTGATAATATGAAATGTTCCGATTGTATTCTTGGATGGGACCGCGGTGGCTGGCTGGCTTGTAAACACTGGCACCCACGGGACAAGTGAGGCGCGCTCAGGCCACAAGTGGATGCGTCTGGAATGGAACAAATCGCGTTGGTCGAGTTTTTTAGCGCTAGTTGAGGCAAAATTTTTGCGTTAAAATGTATCGCTAGTCGGATTTAACGTTATACGATGCCATCGTTGGTCGAGGGTCCAATGTGCATTCACCTACTCCATACTCTCTCCCTCCGATCTGATATCCAATCTTTCATCACCTAATCTTTTTGTTATCCTCATAACCTTACTCTTTCCTGTATTCACTTTTAATTTTCTTCTTTTACATACCCTACCAAATTCATCCACCAACCTCTGCAACTTCTCTTCAGAATCTCCCAAGAGCACAGTGTCATCAGCAAAGAGCAACTGTGACAGCTCCCACTTTATGTGTGATTCTTTATCTTTTAACTCCACGCCTCTTGCCAAGACCCTCACATTTACTTCTCTTACAACCCCATCTATAAATATATTAAACAACCACGGTGACATCACACATCCTTGTCTAAGGCCTACTTTTACTGGGAAATAATCTCCCTCTTTCCTACATACTCTAACTTGAGCCTCACTATCCTCGTAAAAACTCTTCACTGCTTTCAGTAACCTACCTCCTATACCACACACCTGCAACATCTGCCACAATGCCCCCCTATCCACCCTGTCATACGCCTTTTCCAAATCCATAAATGCCACAAAAACGTCTTTAGCCTTATCTAGATACTGTTCACTTATATGTTTCACTGTAAACACCTGGTCCACACACCCCTTACCTTTCCTTAAAGCCTCCTTGTTCATCTGCTATCCTATTCTCCATCTTACTCTTAATTCTTTCAATAACAACTCTACCATACACTTTACCAGGTATACTCAACAGACTTATCCCCCTATAATTTTTGCACTCTCTTTTGTCCCCTTTGCGTTTATACAAAGGAACTATGCATGCTCTCTGCTAGAATTTACGCGTATAAATACGTCCGAAACAGTGGCGCGTAAGACGTATATATATATGACCAAAACAGTCAAAGGGTTAAAAAGAGAAACTTTCGCTTTTCTTTTTGAGCCACCCTGCCTTAGTGGGATGTGGCTGGTTTGCAGAAAGAAGATTTTTTTTTTTTTTTTTTTTTATCACACCGGCCGATTCCCACCAAGGCAGGGTGGCCCGAAAAAGAAAAACTTTCACCATCATTCACTCCATCACTGTCTTGCCAGAAGGGTGCTTTACACTACTGTTTTTAAACTGCAACATTAACACCCCTCCTTCAGAGTGCAGGCACTGTACTTCCCATCTCCAGGACTCAAGTCCGGCCTGCCGGTTTCCCTGAATCCCTTCATAAATGTTACTTTGCTCACACTCCAACAGCACGTCAAGTATTAAAAACCATTTGTCTCCATTCACTCCTATCAAACACGCTCACGCATGCCTGCTGGAAGTCCAAGCCCCTCGCACACAAAACCTCCTTCACCCCCTCCCTCCAACCTTTCCTAGGCCGACCCCCACCCCGCCTTCCTTCCACTACAGACTGATACACTCTTGAAGTCATTCTGTTTTGCTCCATTCTCTTTACATGTCCGAACCACCTCAACAACCCTTCCTCAGCCCTCTGGACAACAGTTTTGGTAATCCCACACCTCCTCCTGACTTCAAAACTACGAATTCTCTGCATTATATTCACACCACAAATTGCCCTCAGACATGACATCTCCACTGCCTCCAGCCTTCTCCTCGCTGCAACATTCATCACCCATGATCATACCCATATAAGAGCATTGGTAAAACTATACTCTCATACATTCCCCTCTTTGCCTCCAAGGACAAAGTTCTTTGTCTCCACAGACTCCTAAGTGCACCGCTCACCCTTTTCCCCTCATCAATTTTATGATTCACCTCATCTTTCATAGACCCATCCGCTGACACGTCCACTCCCAAATATCTGAATACATTCACCTCCTCCATACTCTCTCCCTCCAATCTGATATCCAATCTTTCATCACCTAATCTTTTTCTTATCCTCATAACCTTACTCTTTCCTGTATTCACTTTTAATTTTCTTCTTTTGCATACCCTACCAAATTCATCCACCAACCTCTGCAACTTCTCTTCAGAATCTCCCAAGAGCACAGTGTCATCAGCAAAGAGCAACTGTGACAACTCCCACTTTATGTGTGATTCTTTAATTTTTAATGGGATGATATTTGTAATGTTTCCTGACAGTCAAAATGCTTTAGTGTTACAAAAACTTGAATAAGTACTATGCCAAAGATTTCAAGAATAATACCCCTCTGATGTTAAAAGAACCATTTAAAAAAAAAAAAAAAAAAACTTACATTTACAGTGGGAGGTTCAATATGAAGTGAAGAAGGATGTTCATAGAAAAGCTGATGAGCCTCGTTATTATTGTAGCACTGGGCACCATATTTACAACTCTGAAAATGGCAAAATATAAAAACAATAAAAAAAAAATGGAAAAATGTAATTCAGTCAAATAATGATAAAGAATATGGAGGTAAACACTTGTCAAGGCTGAGGGACTGATCACCACATATTTACCTCTCTACTGCTTCTGCCATCTCCAATATTTAAGTCGCCTCTGTATTTAACTGAAGAATTTTGCTGAGCAGGTGAAAAACATTTCGACAATAAACATATCCAATTTTTGCACACAGGTCTTACTCACCCAACAAGTTTATAGTTGTACCTTTTTTGAAGGTCTGTCTGAGTCCTCTGACTTTCTTTTCTCCTGCTTCAATCCCTTCTTTCCTGTATCTGATTTTTTCTTCTCTTCAGTGTTATCCTCTTCAACATCTTTACTGAATCTACTGAGTGTCTTCTGGACCTGTCAGTAAGAGAACAAAAAAATAATTTTCCTTATTAAATAAGTAAACAATTACAGCACACTGGTACAGAAAAGAGAACAGATAACATCTGAATGTCTGTCAGCCTAAAAAAAACCTCAAGAATGTATATCCTTATGCAAAGTGGCTTAAATTATATTATTTTAATTTAGGTTAATTTAACACTATCACTAATGTCAAGTCTCTTCCTGTCTGTTTTTTAAAGTTATATCAAAACAGCTATGGTACCACTCTTAGAAATGCTGAACTTATAATTGACTTTATCAAGCATTCAGTATCAATTATGACACACTGACTGGGCCAGTGTGCAGTAGAGGTTAGCAGTTTCATGGGCCATAAATATCTATGATTACAATACAAAATACAGTTATCAATAAAGGAGACACAAGAAAATTGTTTCAGCATTAAGAATGCCAGGAAATATTTTATTAGCTGGAAGATGTACATTTTCTAAATTATATGGATGTTTTCAGTAAAAAGTCCACTAAACCTGACTCATATACTCTCCATGACATTTATATTATATTCAGAGTTATCCATGTGAGTCACAATCCAAGTTTTTTAAACAGGTACATGATGAGAAAAAATTTAGTAGAAAATATGTGAAAGTGGAGCCAAGACAAATATACCGATAAAAATATATATAGCAGGTAAAGGTGGCTTTGAATTTTAGGAGCTTCAGCACCCAAAAGGCTTCTGTGAGTGCATTACATAAGAATGAATACAGACATGGGTTTTAAATAGATATAATGTTGGAGTGTGATGTAAGCACACTTCTGGCAAGACAGCAACCAAATAAATGATGGTGAAAATATTTCCTTCTTACAGTCACTCTGCCTTGGTGAGAGACAGTCGTTGAGGTAAAAAAAAAAACATCTAAACCATCAAACATCAGGTAAATAATCAGTATACATGTACAGAACTGAAAGTAAGGCATATACAGGTGTGAAAACATAAATAAGTAAAATTATTTATAGTGGAACCTTGACTTACGAGTGTCCCAACGTACAAGTTTTTTGAGATACAGAGCCGTCCCTGGGTCGATTTTTTGCTCTAAGTTATGAGCCAACATTTGAATTATGAGCCAGCTCCCCCCCCCCTCCGACTTCCCCCTCAACCCAAAACCTGTACACCTCTCTTCTTTATCTATAATTTCATGCTTTAATTCCATGGAAATCATTCTCTTTTTCTTCTCAGCACTGTCCTTTACACTTACTTTCTTAGGATCCATGCTTAGAAAAACAAAATTTGGCCAGATGACTGTCAAAAATGTAAGCAAAGCACGAGAGAACTGCTCCCACAGCGAGGTAAACAGTGCACTGAATTGGCAGCGTTCGTTATTATAATAATATTAACAATAATAATTATTATTATTATCAGTGTTATTATTATTAATTTAGGTAACTAGAGCACAGATCCAATTCCCTAGATCACCAGCGTCAAGGCTCCATGACACTGGTGAGGGGTGCTTGATTTAGGAAATTGGATCTGTGCTCCAGTTCCCTAAATAATAATAATAATAATAATAATGGAGTGTGAGCAGGGTAATATTTAGTGAAGGGATTCAGGGAAACCGGTTATTTTCTTATAGTCAGACTTGAGTCCTGGAAATGGGAAGTACAATTCCTGCACTTTAACCCTTTGACTGTTTTCGACGTATAAATACGTCTTATGAGCCAATGTTTCTGACGTATATATACTCAATAATTCTAGCGGCTTCAAATCAAGTGGGAGAAAGCTGGTAGGCCCACATGTGAGAGAATGGGTCTGTGTGGTCAGTGTGCACCACATAAAAAAAATCCTGCAGCACACTTTGCATAATGAGAAAAAAAAACTGATCGTTTTTTTGGAATAAAACGCCGACTTTGATGTGTATTTTCGTATAGTATTTATCGTTGTATTCGCGTTTTCATGGTCTTAGGTGATAAAATGGAAAACATATTACAGAAACAGAGATGATTTTCATTACTTTTACGATGAAAACGACCTTGAAACTGAGCTCAAAGTAGCGGAAATGTTCGATTTTTACCAATGTTCAAGAGTAAATAAATCACACCACACGTCCAATACACGTCAACTGGGGAGTCTAATATTCTTTCACTAGTGCACTGATATTATTTATACCATTTTTACAATGATGCAGTCGTCTGCATAACAGTAAATTTTGTATTTTTTTGTATGAATAAAAAATCAAAATAGAAAGCAATAATAATATAAGAGGGGCCTAGAGATGTGACTAATGAACAGAGCATATGTTATTTTAGTGCCACGAATGTCTACCTTGTTTATTCTGGACCCTATTTTGAAATTGGCATCTTTTTTATTTTGCGTGAAATTGGCCAAATTGTCAATTTCTGACCACCATATTGGGTAGTCCAAATTAGTAAATGGGAGGTTTCTTGTACTCAGCTGATAGATAAAATGGAGTTCTAAAGAAATAGCTATGAGTTTGGTCAACTGGAACAATGGAATTGGCTGAAAATAGGGCTCAAAGTCGGCGAAATCGCCGATACGCATATGTCACCGAGACCGCTAACTTCGCGGGAGCATAATTCCACGAGTTTTCGACCAAATTTCGAACTTTTGGTGTCATTACCATCGGGAAAAGATTCTCTATCATTTCATAAGAAAAAATAATTTTTTTTTTTTTCAAAAATTGAGCGACATAGAATGACAGTTTCAGAGAGGGGCCTGAAACAGTCAAAGGGTTAAAGGAGAGGTTTGGGATATTGGCAGTTTGGAGGGATATGTTGTGTATCTTTATACGTATATGCTTCTAAGCTGTTGTATTCTGAGCACCTCTGCAAAAGCAGTGATAATGTGTGAGTGTGGTGAAAGTGTTGAATGATGATGAAAGTATTTTCTTTTTGGGAATTTTCTTTCTTTTTTGGGTCACCCTGCCTCGGTGGGAGACGACCGACTTGTTGGAAAAAAAAAAAATAATAATAACAACGATAGAGCTTCAGTTCCTTAAATGCCGAGTGAATGCGTGGGAAGTTTTGAACCAAGTGTGAGAGTACTTGTGGTTGGGGATTTCAATGCTAAAGTGGGTAAAAATGTTGTGGAGGGAGTAGTAGGTAAATTTAGGGTGCCAGGGGTAAATGAAAATGGGGAGCCTTTAACTGAGCAATGTGTAGAAAGAGATTTGGCAATAAGTAATACATATTTTATGAAAAAGAGGATAAATACATGCACAAGGTATGATAAAGCATGTAATGAAAGTAGTTTGTTAGATTATGTATTGGTGGACAAAAGGTTAATGGGTAGGCTCCAGGATGTACACGTTTATAGAGTGGCAACTGATATATTGGATCATTATTTAGTTGTAGCTACAGTTAGAGTAAGAGGTAGATGGGACAAGAGGAAAATGGCAACAACAAGAAAGAGGTGAAAGTGTATAAACTAATGGAGGAGGAAGTTCAGGTGAGATATAAGCAACTATCGACAGAAAGGTGGGCTGGTGCAAGTATGAATAGTGGGGGGAGGGAGGTTGAAGAGGGTTGGAATAGTTTTAAAAATGCAGTATTAGAATGTGGGGCAGAAGTCTGTGGTTATATGAGGGTGAGTGCAAGAGGAAAGAGGAGTGATTGGTGGAATGATGAAGTAAAGGGTGTGATAAAAGAGAAAAAGGTAGCTTATGAGAGGTTTTTACAAAGCAGAAGTGCTGTAAGATAAGTCTGTTGAGTATACCTGGTAAAGTGTATGGTAGAGTTTAAATTGAAAGAATTAAGAGTAAGACGGAAAATAGGATAGCAGATGAACAAGGAGGCTTTAGGAAAGGTAGGGGGTGTGTGGACCAGGTGTTTACAGTGAAACATATAAGTGAACAGTATTTAGATAAGGCTAGAGAGGTCTTTGTGGCATTTATGGATTTGGAAAAGGCGTATGACAGGGTGGATAGGGGGGCAATGTGGCAGATGTTGCAAGTGTATGGTGTAGGAGGTAGGTTACTGAAAGCAGTGAAGAGTTTTTACGAGGATAGTGAGGCTCAAGTTAGAGTATGTAGGAAAGAGGGAAATTTTTTCCCAGTAAAAGTAGGCCTTAGACAAGGATGTGTGATGTCACCGTGGTTGTTTAATATATTTATAGATGGGGTTGTAAGAGAAGTAAATGCGAGGGTCTTGGCAAGAGGCGTGGAGTTAAAAGATAAAGAATCACACACAAAGTGGGAGTTGTCACAGCTGCTCTTTGCTGATGACACTGTGCTCTTGGGAGATTCTGAAGAGAAGTTGCAGAGATTGGTGGATGAATTTGGTAGGGTGTGCAAAAGAAGAAAATTAAAGGTGAATACAGGAAAGAGTAAGGTTATGAGGATAACAAAAAGATTAGGTGATGAAAGATTGAATATCAGATTGGAGGGAGAGAGTATGGAGGAGGTGAAGGTATTCAGATACAGTGGACCCCCGGTTAACGATATTTTTTCACTCCAGTAGTATGTTCAGGTGCCAGTACTGACCGAATTTGTTCCCATAAGGAATATTGTGAAGTAGATTAGTCCATTTCAGACCCCCAAACATACACGTACAAACGCACTTACATAAATACACTTACATAATTGGTCGCATTCGGAGGTGATCGTTATGCGGGGGTCCACTGTATTTGGGAGTGGACGTGTCAGCAGATGGGTCTATGAAAGATGAGGTGAATCATAGAATTGATGAGGGAAAAAGAGTGAGTGGTGCACTTAGGAGTCTGTGGAGACAAAGAACTTTGTCCTTGGAGGCAAAGAGGGGAATGTATGAGAGTATAGTTTTACCAACGCTCTTATATGGGTGTGAAGCATGGGTGATGAATGTTGCAGCGAGGAGAAGGCTGGAGGCAGTGGAGATGTCATGTCTGAGGGCAATGAGTGGTGTGAATATAATGCAGAGAATTCGTAGTTTGGAAGTTAGGAGGAGGTGCGGGATTACCAAAACTGTTGTCCACAGGGCTGAGGAAGGGTTGTTGGGGTGGTTCGGACATGTAGAGAGAATGGAG